CGGCTGCGGCTGCGGCTGCGGCTGCGGCTGCGGCTGCGGCTGCGGCTACGGCTACGGCTACGGCTACGGCTACGGCTGCTCCTACTACTACTACTACTACTACTACTACTACTACTAGACTAGTACTAGTACTGCTACTGCTACTGCTACTGCTAGTTAGTACTAGCACGACTGCTACTACTACTACTACTACTGCTACTACTACTACTGCTTCTTCTACTACTACTACTACGACTGCTGCTGCTTCTACTACTACGACTGCTGCTTCTACTACTACGACTGCTGCTGCTACTACTACTACTACGACGACGACTATGACTACGACTACGACTAATACTACTACTACGACGACGACGACTACTACTATACTGTCCCTTCCCCATTCTCCTTTTCTTCGCTGTGAATAGTTTTTTTATAGTTTTTTTAGATCTGTTTTTTTGACCACTCTGGAATGTTTTTTTGATTTGATGCTGATGTTTTTTTGGGCCCCTCACCCGGAACACGTGGCTATGCCTTGCAATCTTGTAGCATATATTTGGCTATATTGTTTTGTTTGGGCTGATTGTCCTCTGTGGAATAGCTTAAAGCATGTTGGCGCATTGGATTGAATTGGTGCACGTCTAAGCCTACGGGTGTAAAACCGAACGTGTGACTACTGCGATTTTTGAAGTTGATGCTACGTGAAAGGTGGGGGGGGTTGGGTTGGGGTGGGATGAGAACATTGTCATCGTTTTCACGACAAGTAATCTTCGGTCTCATAGCAGCGTCATCGGTTTCACCACATTATCATCGGTTCATAGCATTGTCATCGGTTTCATAACATTGTCATCGATTAGTCGTGCGATTAAAATAGGGTGGGGGGGGTCGGGGGGGTTGTGATGCAATGAGGATGTGGACGTCATGCTGAAAACATTGTCATCGACTTCACGACAAGTAATCTTCGGCTTCATAGCATTGTCATCGGTTTCATAGCATTGTCATCGACTAGTCGTGAGACTTGGGGGGGTTGTGATGTAATGAGGAGGTGGATGTCATGCTGAGAACATTGTCATCGATTTCACGACAAGTAATCTTCGGTTTCATAGCAGCGTCATTGGTTTCATAACATTGTCATCGATTAGTCGTGTGATTAAAATCGGATGGCAGTGGCTTTGGGAAAACACCACGTGTACTAACTTGTGCAAAAAAACTGCGCAAGTCTACTTGAGACAGAACGCATGAAAGTTGAGGACAGCCCGGGACAAAAACGGCGACGGATTTTGCGCTGGCGCTTGGGTTTCGGCAGATTCGGCTCTAAAAATGAAAGGATCCGGGACCCCCAAAAAACATCATCGAACAAGCAAAAGTACTGAGAGGGCTTGCGCTTTTGAATCAAAATTTACACGACTACACGTGCGATTCCACACCCGGCGGGACGTCTAAGCCCAGATAAACAAGTAGCACGTTTGTTTGACCCAACAGTTCAGTTGCCGCATTGCTGTTGTCCTCATTTGTGCCCATGTCGGCCCAGGTTTCATCTCTGGAGTGCGTGGTTGGGCGGTCGCTGATTGGGCAATGGGTGTGGGTCAAACAACCGCATACCTTCCCCTTTGGACAGTAAGTCAAATTGTTTGAAAAAACCACTGCATGGGAAAAGGTTTTTCCCTACCAAGCCCTCCAAATGCCAGACAGGATCCAGACAGGTTGGTGAAGATGCCGGTGTAGATGGTGTTTCTGAACCTGCTATATAGTGGCTGGCTCGCCAAACCAGCAGCAGGGGCAGGCCTGGGGGGAGGCGGGTGACATGACTCACAGCCAAATGCCCCATCATTTTTTACCACCTCTTTGGCGCATTTCTTGGAGCTGCTTGGGTGAAGTTGGTGTGTCCAGTCGATCGTTAGCATTCAGAAACGATTCTTTTAAGCCCTTCTGTGTGTTGATGTGTCCACATTTCCGAGTAATTACCGACTGAGTCCTAGCGCTGATGCACTACACATCCCCATGAGCTCCCTTTCCTTCCTTTCCGCATGGTGTTTGGATGAGCTGACCCTCCATAAGCTGAGGGAAGGTTCATCTCGCTTGACACCAGCCTGAATTCGGTGCGATCTTTCAAAGTTCGGCTGGACGTAGCAGCCGGACCAACTTTTTTGAATGGCAAGTGATGTCTCGAAATCTGAATTCAGAAGGATGGTGACACCGTGGCAAAGCTGACATTTTGAGACACTGCCATAGCTCGCTGGGTGGCTTTTCTCTATCACCTCCACCCTGGGGGGTGACCGACCTCGTCGGGGCATCACCCGGGGAAACGGGGGAGGGGGGGGACGAATTCGGCCATGACTCACTCGTCCTATAGGGAGCAGTGGTGGCGGATGTATCGGTGGTGACCAGCTGGTCCAAAAGAAGCGTCAAGGGAAGTCCCCAGTCCAAAGCAGCTGAAGCATCCATGCACACCCCGGTTTCGTTTAACACTTATAGACTTCTTTTGACCCCATAGTGGGACAACATGGGACAACCATGCCTTTCTGGTTGGTGGGTTTGGCTTGAAGAGCTGCGCTACGCTGCGATCTGAGCATGCGCGCACTCCGAATCATAGTTCTCCAGAAGGCCATGGCACGTTACAGGATCTTTCATGTGAAGGTGAGCCGGAATGTATCATGTGGTGCGCTTGCCTCAGGTGGCATGAAGGCCGGATAGGCTTGTGTGACATGTTAACATGTTGGAGCAGAGCACATCTCAAGCTACACTGCGGAGACCACAGGTTTATGTCATTTTATTTCCCTTTAGTCAACTTCACATTCTGGGCGCCCTTTCAACCAACTGACCTGATTCCCAGTGTCACTTCCACAAGAAAGTGTCTTGGAGCTTTCCAAAACACGTGCAGTTGCAGTTCCATGTTACACCAAGCACCAAGCACCTGATTCCGGGAGCTCGCGAGGACGATCTCTCGGGCGACCCGGAGGCAGGGACCGAGCACCGAAAGACAGGGACCGAGAGCGGACTGGGTCTGTTGTGAACTAGAGCTTCTCTCACTTCTCTCCGATGGAGGTTTAGACATACTCTCCGCGATGCTTGGAAGTGGCGTTTTTCAAAACGATCTTTTCGGTGGAACCGTTTTCCACCCGACTTGGCAGCTGTTTCAAGCTCCATGGGCGGCACCGCGACGCCGAAGAGCGGGGCCGCCGCGGCGGAGCACGCACGTGCCGTAGCGTGCCGTGGCCGGTTTGGGGAAACGAGAGAGCGAGAGAGAGAGAGAGAGAGACACACACACACACACATACATACACACACAATCATACAATCATACACATTGTACATAATGGCAAAAAACGCCCATTGGGAGGGGTGGACGCCGGGGCCCCCCCGAGGGGAAAGAGGGGTCCTAAAAACTGGTCAAAACATTCAGTCCCAATCAACATGTCCCAACAAACAAAGTCAAGGTATTTCCTGCTGGCTTTATACATTGTAGTCACAGTGACTGGATGAATCATGTATATGGGAAGCGCACTCTTTTTTAGATCTATAAAAACAAACATGCAAAGCATGATTTTGCATCACATGTTTGTATTCCAACATGTCAGTTTTGTTGCCCTAAGTCTTGAAACAATTTTGTGAAAGAGAACCATTTCTTTTGAGTTTAAAGGATTTCATTAAACATACCATGCCCCGCCTCTATTTCTGCGAGTGCAAAAGAATGTGTTTTTGAGGTTTTATCTCATCGCTATTGGGTTGGACGCAGTGTTTTTCAGGCCATTGCTATTTATTAGGTTGGAGGCCATTGCTCCTTCCGGGAGCAGACAGCTACATCAGCAAGGCCAATGCAAGGCCCAACATCTCTTTTCGAGCGTCAGGCCTCGGTCATTGCTCATCCCTCCGGTTGCCGGCCGAACCGTCCATTGACATGCAGCCTGTCTTCTTCCAACAGCCAGTGCATGCCGTCGTGCTGAGAAGCCCCGGGTGAACGGTTGGAAGCATCGCAGGATCATCTAGGGAGGCGTTCTCCATTATTCTAGGCAGCCCTGTGCCTGCTCAGGTGATGTCGATTATGTTGGATGGCACTGGCTCTTCTGGGGTGTCTCCAAATCTATTTGCTCGGGAGGTCTCGCCGACCAGTTCTGATATCCACGATGACGGTGCCCCTTGGCTCCTGATTTGTAGTTTAGGCTCCAGGAATCATTGTGTGTCGTTTTGGGTTGTTTTGCTTTGGATGTTTTCGAGTGATAGGTGTCACTTCAGTCGCACTGCACGTCTTTCCCTGCGTGTGTTGTTTAATCTGCAGCTTTGGATCTCCCATCGGCATGGTTTGCTGAATGACTTTTAACTAACAACCTCTCCCAACCATTGCTGAAGTGTGCAGCTTTGAATGTGGGAGGACCTGATTGTGATGCGAATGCCCACGCTTCGAAAAGCCGAAGGCCGGTCAAAAAAACCTGTGCTAAACAGGTGCTGCATACTAGATGAGAACATGGCCCGTGGGTCAGACCCTGGTTGACCACAGAAAATGAACAGAATAGCCCACTAACATGGTGCCGTCGGTCCTGTTGACCTCCTTAGTTCTCCATTCTGTTCAGTCTTCCTTGGTCAACCAGGGTCCCCAGGGTTGACCCACAGCCATATCAAGCTTAGAGGCATTGGAATCGCTGCTTTCCTTCGTTTCTCTGATCTTAAGCTCAGGCGAGACGCATGTCACCTAACATGGCAACCTGTCGTTTCTCAGGTTGTTTGGGGAACACGTGCATTTCAGCCGTGCCCCATAGCATCTAAGAGCTGATGTCGAAGAAGTGAGATCCACGTCACGTCGCTGCGAACAAATCATCATGAATCATAAAACTTACAATACCCAGATGGCTAGGAAGCGTGAGCAAGTTCCGCGTGGAGCTCTCCAGCTCCGCAAGACCACAACGGTTGCCTCACCCATCCGCTGGAACCTGCCAGGCATTTTGCGCGTGGTCCCTCCCCACTTGGTTCTGCAAGGCTTTGGGGAGGCTCGACTGCGGTGAATGGGGTGCGCATGAGTGCGGTGTCACACGTTTGCCACCTGAGCTGGAGACCTCTGGACATTCGTCTTCCCATCCACCTTCGTGGTGCAACACGTCGGAGCAAGGATAGCAAGGGGCCACTGGACCACGACACGAGAGTCAGGGGAGGTGGCCCGAGAGTGGGCGACCCGTGAGTCTCAAACACGACTATCGGGGTGACCCGCGTGTGTTGCCTTTCACATTCCGGATAGCGTTTCTTGGATGATTCGTGAGTATGACATATATGACATTATATGTGATGATTCTCCCAATCTCATGGATCCTGGATGGCTTGTTTCCCAAGTTCAGGACAAATGGAAAGGGAAGATCTACCGATGCAAAACGGAAGTTGGACCCATGCTGTAAAAGATCTATTCTCTCCTATCGATGAACGACCTGGTCCAAAATCCCAGGTTCAGGTTGGGCCCCCTTTGATTTGGACTTGAGAGGAGTGAATCGCCAGAATCCGACCGGACCAGGCTGTGAGGACTCGGAACCATCTGATGAAGCGACCGATGCGGTAACCCTTAATGCTAAGGCCGCGGTCCAGGTCAACCCACGGAGATGCAGAGATCCAAACAGAGAACTCACTAGCTGCAACTTTCTCCCGCAGTGTTTTCTCCCGCTGTCTCTAGAGCATCTGGTCTAGTGCATGGCTCCACCCTTTGGCTGGGTTTGAGCAGGGGCCTGTTCGCAATGCACCATTGGTTCCGACAACCTTGCACAATGTCAAATACATTCTACCACAGTTTTCAGAAAAATTCAAAAAGAAGAAGGCAAGCAATTCCGAAGGTGCTTTGGTTTGAGCTCCAGGCAGGCTAGGATTTGGAGGCTGCTTCAAGTTGGTTTCCGCAATGGCACCCTCTGCAGCCACCTTCCTGCAGGTCTTCGAAAACAACGAATCCTGGCAACAGGCCTTTTCTGGGATGTCCGGACCAAGCTCCGTGGAGTTCGGACAAAGGGACCACCATCCACCTATATAAATAGCTATCCTAGCAGTAGCAGGTCCTAGCAGTCAGGGAGGTGGATGGTCTCCTTTTTCGGGGGCGGCAGGTTGGCCCAGCTGAGCCTGTTTCACATAATTAAAGAGGTGTTGACGTCATCCAAGTCGACCACAAGCTTTCAAGCTTTGGGCTTTGTGGGCGTCTAAATGATTCCTTTCAACTGCAATCCAACTGATTCCATTCATTCCCATGGGATTGAGCTCCTCTTTTGCGGGATCATGTCCTGTGGCATGTTGGTTTTGATTCATTTCTGTCGTTGGAACTAGCACTCTGATCATGTGCGTGGGGAAACCCAACCATTTGCCCACCTCCCATGTGGTCATCCCTTCAAAACTTCGGCCCCCCGTCCAGACGTCTCGATCTGGAAGTGCCTTGAACATATCACTAACCAACGCCCGCCCAATGCCGTGTTTTCCAATGAATCTATGGAATCTATGGGCTCAGATAGCAGGTAGCAGAAGGACCAACTCAACTACCAGAATTGGCGCCCCCGTCCGCCCACCCCACATTGGGTCTCCACCGGGACCATCCATCCGGGTGTGTTCCAATGTGGTTTCGCCTACGGAGCTCTTCAGCTCGAGAGGTGGCATGGCAACATCCCGAGAAGGAGCATACGAAGCTCGGTTTCTCTGAAGGAACCAGATCAAGAGACCTGGACATATCGAAATGGCACGTAGTACATGTGTTTTGCAGCCACCACTCGGAATGGCCGATTTTTTCCGGCGTGCCGTTGGCTAAATAATGAGTTCCCTCCTGCATCTCCAAGACTCACGCGGCACAGGTCAAGAATTGGGGTTAGTTCACGTGTTCCATCTAAGAGGGGTAGCCCGTCCTTTGAACACCGGCATTTGTTGATCTGATCAGTCCTAAGAAGAACCTTTTTGCCGTGTTCAGGTATAGTTATATAAATCCCTGTGAATTCGTTCCTGTAATCTTCTGTTGTACTAGTACTGTACTTTGATTTCGTATTTGATGAAGCTGCAAATTGTTATCCAGCGGCACGAACTGCCTGCTGAATGCTGACTTTCAACTTTTGTGGGTGCTTATTGGGTCACATACTTTTGGGTGGCCAAGCTTGAAGACGACACTTAGGATTGGAGGTCACTCTTAACTTTTTGGCTGATATATAATGGCTCTATGTTCCTCTGTTGAATCCTGTGTTGAAATATGGGTAGGACCAAGACACAAGTACCTTTGAGCCAGCTGTGGCGGTGCTCTTGTGGTTTTCGTGGTAGTTGTTCTGGTGTTTGTGGCGTCGGTGTTGTTGTTGTTGTTGTTGTTTTTTTGTTGTTGTTGTTGTTGTTGTGACATTTTGTCTAACTTGTCCGATGCGCTGATAGCTTTGGAGGGTAGCCTGGAAGGCATCAAATTGGGAGAGAGTGGTGACATTACCCAGATCAAGCCGGAAGATCTTACCGTGCTAGTGGCGCTGGTGGGTGTTCTTTCTCTTGTTTTTGTGTTATTGTGACATCTCCGTTTCGTTGTTTGTTACTGGCAGCTTTTAGTTTCAATCTGGAAGCCTTTACTTCTAGGCTCCAGGAATTTGCACATTACACGCCCTTACGTTGATTTATGTTCCGCTTGTTTCCAAAAGGCTGTAGCTGTAGCTTTCCCGTTTGTATGGCTGCTACTTGCATTTGTGACTTGATTTTTTCATAACATTAACATTATACATCATAAAGTAATTATGCTGATAATGAACCAGTTGCAAAAGTAGAATCCCTGAGGAAGGTTGGTATTCGAGGAGGTGCTATTCGCCCAAACAATGCAACCTTGTTCCATTATTCTCAGAGTATTCCTGATGGTTCCCTATTCTTCTTCATCCTTTGTCCTAATTTATGAGTCTTCCTTTCCTTTCTGGAATTTGTCTTTCTTGTTTGTAAGTACTGCTTCTCGTTGTGTTCATTTGCTTCCATAAGATCCTCCTTCTCGCAATTCAA